AGAAAACAGTTGGCAAACAGCCGGTCGGCTATTTAGTCGGTCAAACAGTCGGCTGTTTGGCCGGCTATTTGACCGACTGTTAAACAGCCGGTCAAACAGTCGATTCACCGGTGCCGGCATATATGCAGATAAATTTTTTCCAGTCAAATACTTAAAAAATTACAGATCTATTAAATTTTTTTCTACGAATCATTAAATGTCGAAATACAATTTATCGATTTAAACATATAATAATTTAACAAAAATAAGATTAAATTTGCGTATATAGACTTACCGAACCGACGAAATTGATGTCCACAAATTTTTCGACTTCTGATTTCAATAAATTTTTAAGTTTCTGCAGATGAAGGATGAGAGTGTTTTATTTATCTGTGTTGGAGTATACAGATAATAAATGTAGGAAGTGTTTGATTTTTATTTGTTAAGTGAAAAGGTATTCATGTCTTTTAAAAAACCAACTTTTGTAATCGAATAATACATTTAAGGGTATTTTTGTCTTTTAATATTGGATATGCCATTTTCATAATATTCCTTTGTTGAGAAGTCAATGTGAATTTTAGATGATTTGATCAGGTTAATTTTAAAAGTACTCAAACAAAATAGCTGGCTTAAACCATTTCAATAAGCTGCCATCAAGACTTGTCTCCATCACCATAAATGTGGACTAAAAATCAGAAGAGCATTGTACTACCCTACGCTTATTGCAAGGTGCTGACTATTGGAGGTGGCCGCCGAGAGGAGACTTTTAGCCAATTTTTCAAGAGCTGCGGCTAGAGACTGTATTTCTTTTGCTCAGGCAACAGTTCAAACACCATTTCAAGTTGGAATAATTTTTGCACAAGTGCCTGATGGAGGATTTTGTTTAAGAAGCCTAGTCAACCATAATCTTTGGTAAAATAGCCTATATCAATAATTTTTGTTTAAATAGTCTAAAGTCTATTTGATTATATATTAAAAGTCTTAAATACCCTTAAGTTGAAATGAATAAAATATCCAATTTGAAAATGAATATTACCCAAATCCCCAAATATAAATCCCTAAATCCCCTTCATTTCTCTCGTTTCCAAGTCCATTCTCACCATATTAAACTCTCCTTAAAATTCAGTTGTATTCTTCTTCATATGCATTATTCTTGCTTACAATGAATGATTGCATGTTGAAGTTCCCTTTCTTGAACCAAGAACAAATGAAATAGTGCAAATTTTGGAGGTGGGTTAGCAAGAATCGATTTCACACAGTTGAAGGTGAGCTTTATAAATTGAAAATTATAGATTTGTTGTTATTTTCTAGTTGTATACTATGAGAAAAATCAATTGGATAATTAAAATTTGCTGTAAAATATTGAAACGGAATGGTGCCGTTTCTCAGTAGTTGGGTGCCCTTTTTTCCCAGCTGGCTGCCGTTTTAATAAGACAATGGAGGTATTGATATACTTGTTGGCAAATTAGTTGTTTCCCCATTCTTTTATAGCATTTTATTATCATAAATAAATTTAAACGGCACATACACATTTTAAACTACAGAATACCGTTTTGTTCTGCTTAAATCTGTTTTGTAACAATATGAGTGGCCTTTTGTTTGTTATTGAAGCTATGATTTATAGTATTCAGTTTTGACAATTAATTGGGTAATATATTATATATATTTTTGTTGAATTGCAGATATGGACTTTGGTGCAATGATTGTTATTTGTTATTTTGTTAAATTTGAAAAGAGTGATGAAGATGAATGGAGTTGGAAATGGATAGGGAATGATGAAGACACCGCAACAAATATTTTTGTATCAAAAACAATCTCATATACAGAGTTGTATAACGAAATCCGAAAAGCAGTTAAGGTTGATCCCAATGTGTATGACATCGAGATGAAATTTCTCGTTCCCAACATGGCAAAATTATCAGTTCCGCCAATGAAGATTACTTACGATATGGATGTTAGTTGGTTTCTTTCTTT